TACTCTGCCGCGAACGCCTCCAGCCACGACCGGACATCGAAGCCCCAATGGTCGGGGACCAGATTGAAGTCCGTGAACCGTGGATTCGAATACGAGATTTGAGAGAGTTGAAATTGAAAAAATGGAAAAGATTTTAAGTTTTGAATTTTTTAATGGTGGGATGTGGCATTGACATGAAGATGAAAGCTTTGGATGAAGAAAGAGATGAACGTGAAGATTTGAGGAGAGAGAAGGCCAACCCACAGACCTTTGCGTATTAGAAAATGAATAAAAAGGAAAAGAAATTGATAGAATAATTCTCAGAAGAGGTTGTTTTGAACCTTGTTTGTGCAGATTTCACCATAATTGAAAACCCAGAAGCAAAAAATTGGAGAAAATGAAGAAATCGATATGAAATCTCTTATGGAGTCCTGGGTTTCGGTTGGCTGTTCTTCCTTCTTGGGCTCCTCTGTCATCGGAGCCTCTGCTGGCGGTTGGGATGGAGGGAGGGAGAAAGAGCGGCAGTACCTTGTTTATGGTTGATAAGGAGTTCACAGTGTGCTGGAGAAGAGAGGGTCGAAGAAAAGGGGACGCCTGACTAATTATACCAACCGATAGGGGAGGATAACTAAGCGGGTATAGGCTGTATTAAATTGGTGGGACTGGATTGTTTTATCCGGTGGCTATTTAATACAAATGGACACCAAACACCGTACTCCATATTATTAGTACTATCCGATACTTTATACGGTGTGCCAAATGAGGCCTTAATGTTTTGTAACCAGTGCTCTTATTATTGTACTAAGTAGGGGTTAAATTCCAATTCACCGTAAGCTTATAAATAGATGCCTTTCAAAGATGAAAGATAGTATGGAGAACATTTTTCTGTTGTCTTTCTCTACTATCTACATCTCACTTCTCTACTATTTTCTCATTAGTTTTATAACAAGTATTACATTTTTCTCCAAACTCTCAATTGGGCTATAACCCAACCCAACCAAGGTTAGATCCGTCACAAACAGTTGATGCAATTTTTGAACACGTGACAAGTATCTATTGAACGAGCAACACCACTAAAACTATACCATGGTTACAACAGATAATCTCTCCTCACTTACACCAGCTCTCTCATGGAAGAAAAAAAAAATAGGGAAAACAAACAAAAAAGAAACATCAGATTTCTCTAGCACCGATTGAAGCAAATGGAGGAAAGTCAAGCTTACTCTGTGTTCCTCAAACTAAGGGAATGGCCATCCTCCTAAACGACGCCATTGTAGCCAGGCTTTTCAACGTTGGTTCCGTCTTCTCCTCCCTGATTTCTCCATCGGCGAAAACTTAGCTCCCTGATTTCTCCCTCTAGAAAAGGAATCAATCCAACCACTGTGCTATCAATTTGGCTCTTTCAAATTTCAATTTTCTTGTTGTTTCTTTGATTATTGTCCTGGTTAAAAATCTGAGTAATAAAAGCCCTTCACATTCCCCTAACAAAACAAGACGAGTTAAATCCAAGAGAGAGGCATAAAGCACAACGGAAAGAAGGGGTGGGTTTGAAAAACCGAAAACGGAACCGAAACCGAAAAAATGAACAAAAAAAATTGAAACAAATTAAGAATACCGAACCGAACCAAAAGTTATTTGTTCAGTTTCAATGATTCAAAAACTAAACTGAACCGAATCAAATCAAATATAATTAATTTTATTTATTTATCATTGGATGTTTATATTCGAAACCCAAATTTAAGTTTAACCCAAATTTTAAGTTCTTATTTTAGGTCCAAATGGCTTGGCCCATTGCTTCCCAACAAGAAAGATATTCAGCCACCATGGTTGAAGCTACAACTGTGGCTTGTTTCACACTCCTCCAACTCACAGCTCCACCAGCCATGGTAAAAACAAAACCTGAAGTTGACTTGAGATCATCTGGGCATCCAGCAAAGTCTGAATCACTATACCCTTACAAAACCAGATTATCTGTCTTCTCATAGATTAACATATGCTTTTTGGTTCTCTGAAGGTATCTCAATACTCATTTAGCTGCATTCTAGTGAGCTTCACCTGCATTGGCCTGAAATCTCCCAAGTACACTGATTGTGAAAGCAAGGTCAAGCCTTGTACAGACTTGAGCATACATAAGGTTGCCAACAAGAGAAGCATACGGTTTCTCTTCCATGATTTTCCTTTCTAAATCATTCTTGGGACACTGAGCTTTGCTTAACTTGTCACCCTTTGAGATAGGCATCTCAGTAATGCCACATGAAAACATATTGAATCTTTTAAGTACCTTTTCTATGAACCCCTTTTGTGACAACCCCAACAAACCTCTCTTTCTGTCCCTTTTAATTTCAATGCCAAGAACATATGAGGCATCCCCAAGATCTTTTATTTCAAAGTTTTGATGCAAGAGAGTCTTGGTTTCATCCAACCAACTTATGTCATTGAGAATATCATCTACATAGAGAACCAACATGATCAAGCTGCTCCCACTGATTTTTAGGTAGATACAAGTGTCTGAAGGATTTTCAGTAAATCCATGTTCCTTCATTACTTTCTGAAATTTTAGGTACCATTGCCTTGATGTTTGCTTGAGACCATATATTGATTTCTTCAACCTGCAGACTAATTTCTCCCTTCCTTCCACTTCAAAACCTTCTGGTTGCTTCATATATATGTCTTCCTCCAAATCACCATTCAAGAACATAGTTTTAACGTCCATTTGGTGCGAAGCTAAATCAAAATGAGCTACTGTTGCCATTATAACCGTAAACGCATCTTTGGTTGACACAAGTCTAAACGTTTCCTTGTAATCAACCCCTTCTCTTTAAGTAAACCCTTTTGCTTCGAGTCTAGCTTTATGTCTTTCTATATTTCCATTTGAGCCTCTTTTAGTCTTGACTACCAACTTGCAACCAATTGGTTTGATTGCATCAGTTTGTTCAACCAACTCCCACACTCCATTGTCTTTCATAAAGATTAACTCACTGTGCATGGCCTCCAACCACTTTTCAGAATTTAAACTAGTGACAGCTTCCTTGAAAGTTTTGGATCATCAAACTCTGACAAGTCTATAACGTTCTCTGAAGCTTCAGTCATATACACAAAATTAGCTAGGGCAATTGATCTTTTTACCCTAGTTGACTTTCTCAGGATGATAGGGGAATTAATAGTGGCAACATTATCTTCTATTGTCTGTGTAGGCTCCGTCATAATATCTTATTGCATAGTATTTTCGTTTGTTGTGTCAGGGACATCTGTAATCTCTTCACCATTATTTTGCCCTTGTTGCAGGTTATCTTCAGTTTCTTCAATCTCTTCAATAGGGCTTCCATTTAGTTCAGTAATTGGTATAGGTGTAGGGCCTTCAATTGAAGTGGAAGTGGGTTGCGATTCAATCATTATCTCAGATTCTTCATCAAATATAAAATCATCTTTCCTTGTCCCAGAATCAAACTCCATGTCATTTTCCATGAACATTGCCCTCCCAATTTCAACTATTTTAGTCTCATGATTATTAGGGCAATAGAATCTAAAGCCCTTCGATCTTTCTGAGTATCCAATAAAAAAGCAACTTACAGTCTTTGGATCAAGTTTCTTACCATTAGGATTGTACAGTTTAGCTTCAGCTTTACACCCTCAAACATGCATGTGATTCAAACTGGGTTTTCTTGTAGTCCGTAATTCAAAGGGAGTTTTGTTGACGGACTTCGAATGAACTCTGTTGATAATATAGTTGGAAGTCTTGACTGCCTTTCCCCACAGAAACTTAGAAAGATTCACTCAGCACATCATGCTCCGTACCATGTCCAATAAAGTTCGATTTCTCCTCTCTGCAACCTCATTTTGTTCAAGTGTGCCTGGATTTGTGTATTGCGCAACAATTCCATTTTCTTGCAAGAGCAAAGCGAAAGGACCAGGATGCGTCCCAGTCTGAGTATACATTCCATAGTATTCACCACCTCTATCAGACCTTACAATTTTAATTTTCTTTTCCAACTGGTTTTCAACCTTAGTTTTAAAAATTTTGAAAACTTCCAATGCTTTAGATTTCTCGATGATCAAATATATGTTACAGTACCTAGAGAAATCGTCTATGAATGTAATAAAATACTTGTTTCCTTCAATTGTTTACGTAGGGAAAGGGCCGCAAATATCTGTATGAATGATTTCTAGGAGTTGTTTTGCTCCTAGTTGATCCTTTCTTTTATTCACTAACTTTCCCTTGACATAATCAACACAAAATTTAAAATCATTAAAGTTTAATGGATGGAAAATCTGGTTTTTGACTAATAGTTCCATTCTAGGTTTGGAGATGTGGCCGAGCCTTTTATGCCAAAGGTTTGATGAGTTTTTTGGACTTGAGACTTCCTTTTCAACATTGAAAATATTTTCACTTTTATTTAGTTGGAATTTGAACATTCCATCATATAAAGAGCCGGTGCATATATATGAGAAGATTTATAAAAAACATTGAAGCCAATATTATTCAAAGTGAAATAAAAACCTAGCAAAACCAATTTCGAAACTGAAACCAATTTCCTTCTCATGGAGGTACATAAACCACATTCTCAAGTTCTAAACAAAACCCAAAATCTAGTTTTAACCTAACAGTCCCTAGAGCCTTGACTTCAACTCCTCTTCCATTGCCAACATAGACTTTAACTTCATCCTTATTTGGTGCTCTATTGTTATGAAGTCTTGCAATGAATTCGTTACATGAATAGAAGAGCCGGAGTCAAGCCACCAAGCATTGCTAGGTACATCAATCAAATTTGATTCAAAACAAGCAAAAACGTTTGAAAATTTATTTTTACCTTTTTTTGCTTCTTGTTTTGCAAGCCACGCTTTATGCTTAGGACAATTCCTCTTCATGTGGCCTGTCTTTTTGCAAAAATAACATTTGAAAACAGTGGAGTTGGAATTAAGTTTGGAAGTCTTTCTAGAGGTGGGAATGTTTCTGGTACCCTCCATTTTGTTGGCATCAGGCATGTAGTTTTTATTGCCCTTAGTGTAACTTTGAACATAATTCACAGATTCAATCTTCTCCTTTCAGTTATTTCCTTTTTAATTCTCACTTCTTCACCCACACAAATCGAAATCAATTCATTCACATCCCATTTAGCTTGCAAAGCCTTATAAGAGACCTTCAACTGAGTATAAAAATCTGGCAGAGAGTTCATGACATGAACCAAAAAGGTTTCAAAAATTGGTACCTCAAGGTTTCTTAGCTTTCCAGCAATGTCGATTACTATGAGTATATATTCACGTACACTTCCTTCACCATCATACCTGATTGATGTGAGTGAATTCATAAGATTGCCAGTTTTAGTCTTCTTGGATTCTTTGTACTTCTCCTCGGTGGATTTCATAAACTCATGTGCGTTTGAAGACTTTGGAAATCCTCCATGAATAACATCTGTCATGGATCTCTTGATTATTATCAATGAAATTCTGTTTGACTTCTGCCACTTTTCATACTTTGATCTTTGGCTCGAAGTGCAACCATCAATAGGCAATGGGGGTTCCTCAGTTCTCAGTGCTAGGTCCATATCAATGACACCTAAAACTATCTCCAAGTCTTGTTTCCATTTTTTGTAGTTGACACCAGTGAGTGGTTCAACTGTGTTGCGGTTCATGGAGCTAGAGTTCATGGCTGCAACATGGAAAATGTTAATATTTAATTCCCATTCTTTATATCACTGACTCAAGAATCTTTGGATTAGTGAGTTATATGAAGGTTTTCTTTAGTCATAACACCTTCACAGCCAACATATGATTTTATGTAGCCATTGTTACAACCCTTTATGGATTGCAAGAAGTGACTGTGTTCATACCTTGGAATGTGAAGTGTCATGCCACTCAAGATCAAAACATGGACTACTGAACATCTTTAGATGATCAGTGACGATGCTTCAATCCCTAGTGCCAATACTAATTTGTATTCTTAATGAAAAACATCCATGTTACATAGATAGCTTTAGCTATCACATGTATACAGATGTTCATCCTGCATAATACACAATTTGTCCTTAACCTGAAATTTAAAACAATTCTTTATGCTTTCCTTTTAGGGTTAATTGGTATGTGAAAGCTCTGATATCAAATGTAAGATAATAATCAAGTATAACATATTAACAGTGGAATAATGCAAACACATAACCAAGATAACCACTAACCTGTTGGAGACATATCGAAGGTACAAAGGGTCTTCTGCGACTCTTCTTCTGCTGTATGCAATGTCTCAGTGAATGGGGCCTGAGCTTTAGGGTTTCTTGCATAAGAAGAGAGTGCAAGGACCCCAAGTATTTATAATATCAACATCAGTAATCAATAAGGACACTACCCATTGTGTGACTCCTTATTAATCTAACCTTATCACTGTTATCACTTATCATTCATATTCTATATAATAGTTGTAATTCTATCATGACTGTTTAAGCTATAAACCTTAATACATATTCCTTATCAGCTTACAAACATAGTGATTGTTAATCTCTAATAGTCTCACGTGTCTAATAAGATCCATCCAAGTGTTTAGCTCTCTTTAGAACTTACATTCTCCCACTAGATCTTACACTTGGAATGGTTCTGATTATCTGGAATGAAAACTATTCTTAATTGGCCATGGGATTAACATAACATAGTCACGGTTTCAAGTCTAGGTCATTAATCAACATCTACAAAGAACTAAATGGTAACATACTTATCACTCTAAATAATATCCCCATAGTCACTGGAGTTTAATGTGTTGCTCAGCTCTACACGAGTGACTATGGGGATATTATTTAGAGTGATAAGTATGTTACCCTTTAGTTCTTTGTAGATGTTGATTAATGACCTAGACTTGAAACCGTGACTATGTTATGCTAATCTCATGGCCAATTAAGAATAGTTTTCATTCCAGATAATCAGAACCATTCCAAGTGTAAGATCTAGTGGGAGAATGTAAGTTCTAAAGAGAGCTAAACACTTGGATGGATCTTATCAGACACGTGAGACTATTAGAGATTAACAATAACTATGTTTGTAAGCTGATAAACAATATGTATTAAGGTTTATAGCTTAAACAGTCATGATAGAATTACAACTATTATATAGAATATGAATGATAAGTGATAACAGTGATAAGGTTAGATTAATAAGGAGTCACACAATGGGTAGTGTCCTTATTGATTACTGCTGTTGATATTATAAATACTTGGGTTCCCTACACTCTCTTCTTAGGCAAGAAACCCTAAAGCTCAGGCCCCATTCACTAAGACATTGCATACAGCGGAAGAAGAGTCGTAGAAGACCCTTTGTACCTTCGAGATGTCTCAAACAAGTTAGTGATTATCTTGGTTATGTGTTTGCATTATTTCGCTGTTAATATGTTATACTTGATTATTATTTTACAGTTTCAACTCAAGGACAAATTCCCCAGATTTCCTGCGAGGGCTCATATTTCAGGCTGATTTTAGGTTATCATCGGCCATTCAATGGGCCTAAAGAAGGTAAATTTTGAATACTTACCTTTGTACCTTTGTTTTAGCTTTTGAATTGTTGAAAATGGTTGTGTTTTGGACCAAAATGGAATCTAAAACCCCTGGAGTGGCTGCAGGTCGCATTGTCGCTAGTACTGTTGGACTCAAGTTCAACAGGCTAAACTTAAAGATATGGCGATTGGGGATCCTTCTTTATTTGCTCCCTATAATAAGAACGATGTGCTTCCTCCTGCCCCCGCCATGACAGAACTCAATTCGCAGTTGAGTGAAAGCACCGCTAAGAATGTGGAGCCAGGGAAAAGAAAGATCAATGAGAAGGGTAAGGGGAAAGAAGTGGAAGAAAAACAAGAAGATGGAGGAGGATGAGAAGAAGAGGAAGCAGAAGAAGTGAAAGAAGAAGCAGTAGTTCGGAAGCCGAAACGAAAGAAACGGAAAATGAGGAAGTAGAAGAAGAGGAACGTTAATACGGAACAGACCGAAATTCTTCCCGAAGATCAAGATTACTAATTCTGATATACAAGAAAAAAGGTATCGATATTCATCAAGACAGTTCTTACAGTCAATCAATCATGCTCTGTTTCTAAAAGAAAATTTTATGTGATGATCAATAGGAGTATGTATTTTGAGTTCCAGCGGTGAAAGTCTATAAAAAAATTGTTCAGTTTTTAGGGTTTTTCGTAACTAGATTCTATGTTTGATGTGGGTTGAAGGTATTTCGAATTTTTTATTTTTTTTTACAATTTAATTGATAGGGCACAATTACAAAAATTGTGCTAACATGCATCTAAAATGGCATATGTCAGAACAAGGGAAAAAAAACCTTATATGTGCTCAACTCTTTGAGGACACATGGCCATATCATGCCCTCTAATAAAAGGCAACGCCCATAGAGGGCACAAATAGAAATATAGTTGCTACACTATTGCTCTTGGTTTGTGGGAACAATTGTTGGTGCTCTTTGGCCTCAAAGGGCACATATAATTTATTGTGCACAGTGCCCATATTTTTTGTAGTGAAAGGTGTAACATAAATCTATGTTTAATATTTGAAGTTGTTTCACATCTAGGTTTGCAAAGTAGAAGCTATTCTTTGGTTTCGTCTATGACTTCTCCAAGTAGGTAATCATTTATCTTTTAACACTTCCAATATGTTGTTTGCTGCTGCACTTTTTGCATACAGATAATGTCTTCTTGACTACACTACAATAATGTTGATGTGTGTGTGTGTGTGTGTGTGTGTGTATTGGCACATAGACCTTGGTTGATATTAGAACTAGTGATTTCAAGGTTCTTTGATCAAACTTGCATTTTAATTATAACAAAGGGATCGACGATCTTCTTGCCCAAAGGTGTAGATCATTATTTTTGGTTCAATTAGGATGGCATAGTATGAATTTATTTCATAAAAGTTTGTGAAAATTTTGCCACAGGTGTTGAAAGTTTTTCATGAGTTAACCCATGTAATGCGTGATCAAGAAGTAGAGTTCTTTGTTTTTATGTACCAATGCTTCTGCTATGAGCCTCATTATAGGCATGTAAGGGACCAATGTTAATGAAAGCGTGAGATAAAAATATTTTTTGCCATGTCATAATTTTTTTTTTTTTGGCGTGGGAAATCACGTTGTTATATATATTTCTCTTCATGAGAGATGTCGATGCACATAAATTTCTTGGCAAATTATGAATAAAGCTTAATCAATGGCACATATATGGAGCATGAAAATGCTTGACTTTTTGATATGTTGTACGTATATGTGTCTTCTTTTACAATTCACATTTTCGTGGTCATTGGTTATGTATTTTATTTGTTATAAATTTATAAGTAATCGGTGCTCATAAAGAAACCTATGCTGGCAGTTTCTGGTTAGTCCTCTTTGCTTGTCTCTTGGTTATTAATAGGACAAACGTGACTTCTTAACATGTTATATGAATAATAAGTGTATCTGGTTTATTTTACATAACTTGAGGATTAGTCTTATATATATATATATATATATATTAATTATAGTAAATCTAGAGTAATCGGAACGCACTCATGGAAACTTGTTTCGGATTTCTATTCTATTGTGTTTAAAATTTTAAGCAACTAGTATGCTGAATTTTGGTGAATAATAAATTAATGAGTGTTTTAGCATGCTCTACCATCCAAGTCTTGCAACAGTAACTAATGTACGCATGCATATGGCATATACCATCATGACATGAATCAAATGGAAAGTTATCATTTCCAACGCGATCAGTTTTAGGCTGTAGAGCAAGGTTTCATCAGTTTCATGCTATAGAGCAAGGGTTTCATAATTTTGCACCATAATTTGCTAAAATGTAGTGTAAGGAACCTCACCCTGATTCAAGCTAGTATGACTCAAGTTGAATTATAATCTTAAAGATGACAACATGGTTAAATTGCTTGACTATATATAATGTATATATGATGTTTATGTGCATTGTCTATCGTCTTTGTCTATTGCATATGGTTGCATTGGATGGTTACATGTTGGTCTTTATAAGGAGTGTGAAGCTAATACGAACTAATGTTTGATATCGAAACGTTTATGGTCCAATTGTTTCGTACCGTTTGATTGTCTTTGGTATGGTTTTTGTATCCATCATACATGCTTAGATGAATACCAAGGAAAAATTGGAATATCTTGTGCATAAAAGATTGTGATACTTTTGTGACTTTTTTTTATTGATAATGTGATTTCTTGCATGTTAAAGAAACATAAAAGAAAAATAAAATTATGCGGTAAGATGCTTTTGTGTTAACTAATTGTCGTAGTAAGGTTGCTCACAAAGCTTGCATCTTTCAGAACCTTATCAAAAGTGTTGTTCTATAATTAAGTTATGATTATATAAAGGAAAAATTAGTATCCGGTCCCTAGTTACTAATGTTTATTGATTGAAGCCTTATTAGTTTTTAAATTTTGATTGGAGTCTCTAGCATTAATATGATAATGAATTTACATGTTTATTACATATTTTAAAAATAAAAATTAGTAACTGATGTAGGATTTTAATAATCACACCTCTATTAAACTCCTAATTAATTTTCAATTCAAACATTTCCAAAATAAAATAAATAAATAAATTAGAATAAGTTTGTACCGATTAGTTTTTTTATAAAAATATTCTCAGTTTTTTAATCTTAAATGTACCCATTCATATAAT